TGTGGATGGATAGATAGATGATGATAGATAGATAGATAGATAGATAGATAGATAGATAGATAGATAGATGATAGATAGAATCGGGATGCTAACCACCAGGAAAGCCAAATGCAGAAAGGGTCGGAGGTGGTGTCTTCTGGGCCTATCCACGGGAAAAGGGAATGGCCCGGGCGACTTTTGCTTTTCATCACATGCCTTCCCCTGCCGTGCACACGCAGGAAACCGTTCTGAGGTGCTTTCCGTGGGTAAAATAAACGGCGGATGTGGGACGCTTCCCTGTGCTGAGACCTGGCTCCGAAAACACGTTGATGGGGACGACTCTCGGACCCTCGGGGCGCGAGGCTACTCAGCATCTGTCCTCCCTTTGTCACCTGGGCTGCAGGAGTGGGGGGGAGCTCTTCCTCATCGGTATTTCCGACCCCAACATTCAGGAAGAGAATCATGGATCGGCTGCCTCTTGCACACCCTCCCACACTGGGGATGGAGCCCGCACCCCTGGCATGTGCCCCGACCGGGAATGGAACCTCCTGGTTCCTAGGTCGACGCTCCACCACGGAGCCACGCCGGCCAGGCACCGCTCTGACCTTTAAATCAAGTCTGCTGTTTCGGGGTGAGGGCAGAGCCCCACGGATCACTTACCTATTTCACATGGAAAGGATTCTCACCCCGGCCAGAAATTCAGGTCATCTCGCTGACGCCCCCGGCTGTTTTCAATGTCGTCAGCATCTCTTACTGACACTCAGCATGTCACCGGGCTTGCATTTTTCTTCGTTTTAATGACCACTTGGGCGCCTGTCTCCCTGGGACTGTGGGCCACACCCCTCGCCCGGCCTCTATGGGAAATAGCTCTGAGGAAAGCACGTTGGCATGGAGGTCAGAGGGCACGGCCGCATCGTCCAAGATGAGAAGCAGGCCCTCGCCCGTTTGGCTCCGTGGATAGAGAGTCAGCCTGTGGCCCTGACCGGTTTGGCTCAGTGGCTGGAGCGTCAGCCTGCGGACTAAAGGGTCCCGGGTTCGATTCCAGTCTGGGGCATGTACCTTGGTTGCGGGCACATCCCCAATGGGGAGTGTGCAGGAGGCAGCTGATCGATGTTTCTCTCTCATTGATGTTTCTAACTCTCTATCCCTCTCCCTTCCTCTCTGTAAAAAAAATCAATAAAATATATTTTTTTAAAAAAAGAGTCAGCCTGTGGACTGGAGGGTCCCAGGTTCGATTCTGGTCAGGGGCACGTACCTCTGTTGCAGGCTCGATCCCCAGTAGGGGGCCTGCAGGAGGCAGCCGATCTGTGATTCTCTCTCATCACGGATGTTTTTCTCTCTCTCTCTCCCTCTCTCATCCTCTCTGAAATCAATTAAAAAAACAACAGCAGTGAAGCCGCAACACCGTCACGCACATCACGCCCAGGAGATAAGCTCAGATCGTGGCTGTGTGAGAATCACGGGGGCCAAGATGGGCTATTCGTGCCCGAACTAACAGGTGGGTCGCCTATCACCTACTGATGTGACGCATCCCAATGGCTCCTGAGACACCGGGATGATCCGCTTGGCACAGTGCGGTCCACGCCCCCGGAGTGGTTGGCAGGAGGTCCACTTGCCTGGCGGAGCCGGGAGGCCAGAATGTCACACCAGACACGCTGGGCTGGCAAAGCCTTTAAATGATGGGCTGCCCGGCCGGCGTGGCTCAGTGGTTGAGCGTCGACCTATGAACCAGGAGGTCAGGTTTCGATTCCCGGCCAGGGCACATGCCCGGGGCTCTGGGCTCCATCCCAGTGGGGGGGGGGGGGGGCGTGCAGGAGGCAGCCGATCCAAGATTTTCTCTCATCATTGATGTTTCTATCTCTCTCTCTCCCTCTCCATTTCTCTCCAAAATCAATAAAAATATGTATTAAAAAATAAATGATGAGTTGGTAGCAAAAGTTTGTGCCATTTCAATAGCTCTTTGCCTTTTTAAAAAAATATATGTTTTTATTGATTTTTAGAGAGGAAGGGAAAGGGAGAGTGAGATAGAAACATCACATCGATCGGCTGCCTCCTGCACGCCCCCCACTGGGGATGGAGCCCGCAACCCGGGCCTGTGCCCTGACCGGGAATCCAACCGGTGACCTCCTGGTTCATAGGTCAACACTCAACCACTGAGCCACACCGGCCAGGCCTGTTCTCAGTCTGGGTTCCCAAGGACTCTTGTGCACTCACACTGTCACGAGTTTTTGCCGCCCGCAGGGTGGAGACCAGGCTCAGGGCACAGCCCTCTTGGCCCCTAGCAAGATGGGGCTGTCTTTCTTGCTCGTCCTGCCCCCGCCGCTCCCCCCACCTCCCCTGTGGAGCCACAGGCTGCTCCTAGACAGACTGGCCATTCCGGCCAGGCAGCTTGGCTTTCCCATGCTCTCCCCGCATGCCTTTCTCCACTCTCTCCTGGTTCTCACCCGATTTCTGTTTGTGTTTCTTTGAGATGGGTACTCTAGGTATCCTAACTGCCGTGGCTGGCAAGGAGGAAATAAACTATTGTGCTTTTCTAGCACATGGGGCCGTGAGCCTCCTGGAAGCCAAGGCAAAAAGGGAAACCAGCTGAATTGCAAAGCTCTCACTCTTAGTTGGGAAGGGCACCTCAGGGCGTTTCAGATTTTTATTTCTTTTTATTTATTTTTTTTTACTCCAAAACGCCTTGTTTGACACTGTATTTCCACGTGGGAGTTTACGAAGGGAACACTGTGACACATAATTGCTAGATCCAAGATCACTGTTTTACAGGAGCAGTGTTTTTCACAAGGCTCCTTCTTAAGACAGTGATGATCTTCTGGATAGAAAGGGAGAGTCTCATCAGAGAGGCCAAGAGTAGGGGGTGGGGGGGGGTGGGCCAGAGTGGGCTTGGAGCTGCTCCATGCCCTCCCCCACCCCCCGCCGGATGGTCAAACATCCCCCAGAGCCCTGGCTGGTTTGGCTCAGTGGATAGAGCATCGGCCTGCAGACTGAAGGGTCCCGGGTTCGATTCCCGTCAAGGGCACATGCCCGGGATGCGGGCTCGATCCCCAGTAGGGGGTGTGCAGGAGGCAGCGGATCCATGATTCTCTCTCATCATGAATGTTTCTCTTTCTCTCCCTTCCTCTCTCAAATCAATAAAAAATATATATTAACATAAAGGGGGGCGCGGAGAACGTGTGGGAAACCCACCTGCAAGTGCCAAGAGAGGCCCCGGTGGACAGGGACTTGGCTTGTCCCGGTAGGGCCTCCCGCCAGGCCTCCTTTTCCCCCACCTCTACTGGGGTGACTCATGCCTGCAGAATGAGTCATGGGGTTACGAAACCAAAGGGCTCCTGACAGGGAGGCTGGGGAGGACCTGGGGGAGCCACCTGCACGGCCCCGCCCTCTTCCAGGCCTCTCCCATCCCTCCTCGCCCACCCTTTCTACCTGCCTAGCCACAGACTCCAGCGAGTTCTCTACAGCACCCCACACGAAAGGGGACACCCCTGGACACTGAGCCCCGGTCAGCCCTCTCCTCCCACCTCCAGGCCTGCTGGGCCTGGTTTCTGTAGGAATTGGGAAAATAAAGGCTGACTTCCCACATGGGGCCGGGAGGGACCGGCATCTTGGGAGGAAGGGAGAGGAGATCCTGAAGCCATTTGCTTGTTTGCCTGTGACCATTTGCCCGGCCAGTGTGGCTCGGTGCATGAACGTCGACCGATGGACCAGGAAGTCACGGTTCGATTCCTGGTCAGGGCACAGGCCCGGGTTGCAGGCTCGATCCCCAGTGTGGGGGGCGTGCAGGAGGCAGCCGATCCATGATTCTCTGTTATCATTGATGTTTCTCTCTCTCTCTCTCCCTCTCCCTTCCTCTCTGAAATCTATAAAAATATATTTCAAACCAAACAAGGAAAACCCATTTACATAGTTCTCCAGGAGGCACCGAATCCGTATCCCTGGGTTCTAGGCTGCCCCGGGCAGCAGCCCCGGGAAAGATTCGCCTCACTTTCCCAGGGACTGGCCCAGCCCCGTGTGAGCTCCACTGGGTAGCAGGCCCCTGGGCTGGCTCACAAAAACCAACATTTATTAACAGCTTATTCCATGCCCCTGGGCTCATGGCATTCTCTCACAGCCCTCTGGGGTAGATACTGCCATCAGGCATCTGCAGGAGGGACACTGCGCTCCCTCCCCGCGATCCCACAGATATCCAGGGGGCAGCTTGGCGAGGCGGCCGCACCCCGCTTCCTGAGGTGGGCCCCAGCTTCGCTGCACCACTGGGTGTCTCCTGGACACCCCAGGAGCCCAGCTGATGGGTCGGATGTCTGTGCCCCTACAACTAGGTCTCGTTTGGGGGGACGGTGCCATGATCCCGCCCTTTTTTTAATATCTAAATATTTTTATTGATTTCAGACAGGAAGGGAGAGGGAGAGAATCAATGGTGAGAGAGAACCATGGATCGGCTGCCTCCTGCGCGCCCCCTACTGGGGATCGAGCCCGCAACCCAGGCACGTGCCCTTCACCGGAATGGAACCGTGACCGCCTGGCTCACAGGTGGACGCTCAGCCACTGGGCCAGGCCGGCCGGGGCCCTGGTGACTCCCTTTCCCCCTGGAACCCCGACCCTGTGCCAGTCCACGGCCTCACGCAGGAAGGAGCCAGGCCACCTGTGCAGGAGGCCCAACCGGACCGGGCCAATGGGGACGCTAGAAGCCGCCCACCAGGTGGGAGGGCGCGGCCCGCCCCCAGCGCTCCGGGAACTGGACTCACCGGGGATGCGCCCTGGGCCCTCCCCGCCTCCCTCCCTCCCGCCTCCCAGGAGGTCACGCGGGGTCACGGCCGCCGCTCGCTCGGGCTGCCCGGCGTCCGTGCCTGCGTCCCGCGAACCCCCCAAAAAGTCTGCGAGAAGTTCCCGGCGAGGGGCGTCCCGGGTCCCGCGTGCGGACGGGCGCAGGGGCGCCACCGGGGCGCGCGGGCGGGAACGCGCCGCCTCCCCCTCCCCTCCCCTCCCCTCGCTCCCGCCCGCTGCGGCGGCGACGGCGGCAGCGGCGGCGGCGGCGGCGGCGCTTCCCCGGCGCGCGGAGCGGCTTTAAAAGGCGGCACCCCGCCCCCCCGGCGCACTCACCGCTCGGGCGCCCGCCGCGGAGCCTGCCTGCCGCTGCCATGCCTCCGCGCGCGCCGCCTGCGCCCGGGCCCCGCGCCGCCGCCGCCGCCGAGGACGCGGGGGACGCCGACCGGCCCGCGCCCCGGCCGCTGGCGCTGCGCCCCTGGAAGTGGCTGCTGCTGCTGGCGCTGCCCGCCGCCTGCTCCGCGCCGCCGCCGCCGCGCCCCGTCTACACCAACCACTGGGCAGTGCAAGTGCTGGGCGGCCCGGCGCAGGCGGACCGCGTGGCCCAGGCGCACGGCTACCTCAACTTGGGCCAGGTGAGTGCCGCGGGCCCGGCGCCCCAAACTTTCCTGGGCCCCTGGATGGACCCAGCTCGGCCCGCGCGCGCGGTGGTGGGGGCCCGGGCACCCGGCGGGGAGTCGCCCGGGAGCGCGGCGCACGGGAGGCGGGCGGGGGCCACCAGGTGGCGCGGCCCCGGGCGGGGTGACCCTGAGCGGACACCTGCCCGGGGCGGCCCGAGGCGGGGCGGTGGAGCGCAGCGTTCTGCCCGCGGGCGCTGTCCTCCGTGCCCACCGGGCTCTCCGGGCCTGAGACCCCCCCGCCCCCCGCTGCCCTCGACGGAGAACTGGACCCTGAGCGCGCGCCAGGGCGGCTGGGCGTTTGCTGGGTGACAGGCGCGTGGTGCGTGGCCGGGCTTCCCTGGGACCCCTGCGCCCTCTGTGGCCCCGGCTCCTGGAGGGGGACCCCCGGGTGCCTGTGCCTGGGAGTCGCTATGAGGGCGGCTGTCGGGACAGCTCGGGACCCAGTAGCCCCGGGGGTGGCCGGAGGCGCGCGGGAGCGGGTGGTGGTGGGAGATGCAGGGCGTGGGGTGGGGTCGTGTGCTCGGTTTCTAGGCTTCTGCAATGGCTCCGCAGACGGGCAGTGTGACCCTGGACAAGTCATTTCCCGAGCTTGTGTAGGGACAGGGCCAGGGCCAGGGACAGTGTGCACACAGTCAACAAGTTGTTGGACTGATCCGGGGTGACTGTCGCCAAGTGCCAGGCTGGGAATGAGCTGGCGGGGGAGCCAGCAGCCGTCCCGCGGCCCCGGCTGGCACTCAGGCTGGCACTTAGCAAGAGAGGCTAGCCGGTGTGGTTCAGTGGATAGAGCGTCGGCCTGCAGACGGAAGGGTCCCGGGTTCGAGTCTGGTCAAGGTGGCACATGCCTCGATTGCCTGCAGGAGGCAACCAATCATAGATGTTTCTATCTCTCTCTCTCCCGCTTCCTTCCTCTCTCTCTCTAAAAAAAAAAAAAATCAATAAGCCATATTAAAAAAAAAAATGCTGGCCCTAACCCTTTTGGCTCAGTTGGATAGAGCACCGGCCTGCGGACTGAAGGGTCCTGGGTTCGATTTATTTATTTGTTTTTAAAATATATTTTTATTGATTTCGGGGAGGAAGGGAGAGACAGAGAAATAGGAAACATCCATGATGAGAGAGAATCACTGATCAGCTGCCTCCTGCACGCCCCCTCCTGGGGATCCAGCGTGTCACCCGGCCATGTGTCCTGACCAGGAATCGGACCCTGACCTCCTGGTTCCCTAGGTCGGTGCTCAACCACTGAGCCACACGGCCGGGCCGGGCCTGTTACTCTTTATTGAAAACCAGCCTTTGTCCCCCTCCCCCCACCGGCAGGTCTTCGGTGGAAAAGGCCCTGGGCGGGCGTTGCGGCCTCTCCCTCCTCCTCGGTGAGAACTCTTTAAGAACCTCCCGTGCCTTCCCAACCCTGGAGGTTTTGTGACTCATAAACGTGACGACGGAGATATTCTTAGCTTTGATTTACGGGCGAGTCCACGAGGGAGCAGAGGCCAGGGATGGAAGCGGTTTCGCGTCCGCACAGTTAGCGTGTGTTACCCCCCGGCCGGCCGGCCAGCCCGGTCCCCGCTCATCGTCTGCGGCCACAGTCTCTGTCCGGTGTGAGCTCCCCTCCCTAAAGCCTTGCGGGGCCATTGGCGCTCCTGGTACCTGCCCCGACGCACAGCCCTGCCTGGGTGGTGGATCTGGGCACGCGGCCCTAAGTCCTGGCCTGGTTCTTTTTACGTTTCCTCTGTTCAGCTGATAACGTGATTCTGTTTGTTGTGACGTGGGGCAGAGGTCATTGAGACGGGCTTGGTTGCTCGCCTCCCTCCAATCCTGGAGGCCTGTGAGAGTCTGATCAAAGCTCTGAGCCTTCTCCGGTCAAAATTAGGCATCGCGCCCTGGCCGTTGTGGCTCAGTGGTTAGACCAGGGGTGGGCAAACTTTTTGACTCGAGGGCCACAATGGGTTCTTAAACTGGACCGGAGGCCGGGACAAAAGCATGGATGGAGTGTTTGTGTGAACTAATATAAATTCAAAGTAAACATCATTACATAAAAGGGTACGGTCTTTAATTTCAATAGTTTTATTCATTTCAAACGGGCCGGATCCGGCCCACGGGCCGTAGTTTGCCCAGGGCTGGGTTAGACACTGAAGGGTCACAGGTTCGATTCCCCGTCAGGGCACAGGCCCAGGTTGAGGGCTTGATCCCCAGTAGGGGGTGTGCAGGAGTCAGCTGATTCATGATTCTCTCTCATTATTGGTTCTTCTCTCTCTCTCTTTCTTCCTCTCTGAAATCAAAGAAAGAAAAATAGGCATCGTGCCTTGGCTGGTTTGGCTCAGTGGTTGGGGTGTCGGCTCACCCATCGAAGAGTCACAGGTTCGATTCCCGGTCAAGGGCACATACCTGGGTTGCAGGTTCGATCCCTACCCCCATCAGGATACGTGTGTGAGGCAACCAATCAATGTGTTTTTCTCACATGGATGTCTCTCTCTCCTCCCTCCCTCTCACTCTCTGAAAAGTCTCTAAAAAGCAACGGGGAAAAATATCCTCAGGGGATGATTAATTAAGAAAATATATGCGGTGCCAGGGACAAGACCAATTAGCCTCTTTCTGCGCCTCTATTTGTCATCCTACGAGAGATTGCCCATAACACACCAGGCCTTAAAAAAGAGGAAAGCTGAGGCTGGTTTGGCTCAGTGGATAGAGCGTCGGCCTGCAGACTGAAAGGTCCCAGGTTCGATTCCGGTCGGGGGCATGTGCCTTGGTTGTGGGCATATCCCCAGTGGGAGATGTGCAGAAGGCAGCTGATCGATGTTTCTGACTCTATCTCTCTCCCTTCCTCTCTGTAAAAAATCAATAAAATATATTAAAAAAAAAAGAGGAAAGAATCAAATGTCATTACGGACAGAGGACAGAACTAACTACACGGATCATGTGAAGGGAGGTGAGCGGTTGCTTGGTTAACAGTACCTTTAACCACAGCAACATCTGAGAAGATAAGACATTCAGGTGGGGGGAGGGGGGGCGTGTGCGGGAGGCAACAGGTTGATGTGTTTCTCTCACATCGATGTTTCTCTCTCTCTCTCTCTCCCCCAACCTCCTCCTTCCTCCTTCCCAATCTCTCTCTGAAAAAGCAATGGAAAAATATCCTCAGGTGAGGATTAACCAAAAAATAAAATAAAAAGTACACATGAGAAGGGGCGGCCAGGTCCCGGGGAGTTCCTGGGGCGGGTGTGGTTTAAGGCAGTAATGCGTTTTCACGCCTCTCTGATTGGCCAGCGTGGGAAAATGTTAGCGTCCAGTGCTGGCCAGGGCACAGAGCAGCGGGCACGCTCAGGTGCCACTGCTGAAAGTTCTTGGTGGCATCTCGACTTTTTTGTTGTTGTTGTTACTGTATTTTTTATTGATCTCAGAGAGAAGGGGAGAGGGAGAGAGAGAGAGAAACATCCATGATGAGAGAGAATCACGGATCGGCTGCCTCCTGCACGCCCCACACTGGGGATCGAGCCCGCCACCCGGGCATGTGCCCTGACCGGGAATCGAACCCGGGACCCTTCAGTCCTCAGGCTGGCGCTCTGTCCACTGAGCCACACCGGCTAGGGCGGCATCCGGACTTTGGAGAGGGTCAGCTGGCCGGCCACCGGGAGGTCGCGTCGGGTCAGCGAGTTCACATCCAGGAGTGACCTTCTTGCACAGGCGCCTGCGGAGATGGGTTTAGGAATGTCCAGGGGCGCTTTGCAGGTGGCGGGAGTCACAGTCTAACCCCCCATCTGTCGAGGAGGGGAAAAGTGGATCGCCCTGTGGAGTAGCTCAGGGCGATTGGGAAGGAATGAAGCAGATACCGATCTGCACAGATAACGCAGACACGGGGCAGACACGGGGCCAAGCGAAAGGCAGGGTGCAGGTGGAGGGCCTGTGCATGTGGATTTTAAAAAGAAACATGTCGATCCAGTCTGTTATTTACGAATGCTTGGACACGGAGGCAGTGGGGGAGAGGAACTGGGGAGAGAAATGTCAAGCTTCATCTGTAGTGGGGTGCTTTTTAAAAAAATTTATATTTTTATTGATTTCAGAGAGGAAGGGGGAGAGAGAGAGAGAGAGAGAAACATCAATGATGGGAGAGAATCATGGATCGGACCCCTCATACCTGGCTTGCAGGCTTGATCCCCAGCCCTGGTTGGGGCGCGTGTGGGAGGCAACCAATCGATGTGTCTCTCTCACATCAATGTTTCTCTCTCTCTCTATGTGTGTGTCTCTCCCTCTCCCTTCCACTCTCTTTTTTTCTTAAAAAAAAAAAAAAAAGAGATATTGCCCTGGCTGGTTCGGCTAAGTGGATAGAGCATCGGACTGTGAACTGAAGGGTCCTGGGTTCGACTCCAGCCAAGGGCACATGCCTGGGTTGCGGGCTCGATCCCCAGTGGGGGGCGTGCAGGAGGCGTGCAATGATTCCCTCTCATCATTGAGGTTTCTATCCCTATTTCCCTCTCCCTTCCTCTCTGAAATGATGAAAATACATTAAAAAAAAAAGAGAGAGAGATTCTCTCAGACCCAGTCCCCACAGCTGGTGGCTGAGTTTTGGAATGTTTAACCTGAGGGTGCCGGGTGGGGCCCGTACCTTCCCCTGCATTGAGCTAAGGTGTTGGTTCTGAGACTGGGCCTAGACACAGGCAGGCCGGATGCCAGGGGGCCTGGGAGATGTGAGAGCCTTAAAGGATTCTCAGCTTGCCTTCCGTAGTTTCCCCGAAATAGCTCCGGAGCGGGCCGTACCTGGCCCAGAATTGCAAGCGAGCCCGCCGCGTTCGTCCGTGTCAGCACAACAAAACTCGTCTGCCCACAGCGCGTCTTCCTAAGCTGAGGCCGAGCCCGGTGTTAAAATCCCGGACCGGAATCTTTTCCAACCAGAGTATCGGGGGGCTCGGGCGGGACAGGGGGAGGCCCAGCATAGCAGTCGCCTGGGACCTAGTTCCCTGGAATTGACT